AATGGCTACACTGCCCAAAGTAATTTATAGATTCAATGCTATTCCCATTTAACTACCATCGACATTCTTCATAGAATTAGAAAAAACTTTTAAAATTCCTATGGAACCAAAAAAGAACCCATATAGCCAAGACAATCATCAGCAAAAAGAACAAAGCTGGAAGCATCACGCTACCTGACTTCAGACTATACTACAAGGTTACAGTAATCAAAACAGCATGGTACTGGTACAAAAACAGACACAGACCAATGGAACAGAAGAGAGCACTCAGAAATAAGACTGGATACTTTGACATCTGATCTTAGACATCTGATCTTTAACCATCTGATCTTTGACAAACTTGACATAAACAAGCAAAGGGAAAAGAATTCCCTATTTAATAGAATGCTGGGAGAACTGGCTAGCTATATGCAGAAAATTGACACTGGACTCCTTCCTTACAACTTACACAAAAATTAACTCAAGATGGATTAAAGACTTAAATGTAAAACCCAAAATTATGAAAACCCTTGAAGAAAATCTAGGCAATACCATTCAGGACATAGGCACGGGCAAAGATTTCATGCCAAAAATGCCAAAAGCAATTGCAACAAAAGTAGAAATTGGCAAATGGGATCTAATTAAACCTAAGAGCTTCTGCACAGCAAAATAAACTATCAGAGAGAACAGACAACCTACAGAATGGGAGAAAATGTTTGCAATCTATCCATCTGATAAAGATCTAACATCCATAGTCTACAAGGAATTTAAACAAATTTACAAGAAAAAACAAATAATCCCATTAAAAAGTGGGCAAAGGACATGAACGAACATTTCTCAAAAGAAGACATTCACACGGCCAACAAGCATATGAAAAAAAGCTCAACACCACTGATCATTAGAGAAATGCAAATCAAAACCACAATGAAATGCCATCTTAGGCCAGTCAGAATGGTGATTATTAAAGTCAAGAAACAACAGACACTGGAGAGGTTGCAGAGAAATAGGAACGCTTTTACACTATTGGTGGGACTGTAAAGTAGTTAAACCATTGTGGAAGACAGTGTGGCAATTCCTCTAAGACCTAGAACCAGAAATACCATTTGACCCAGCAATCTCATTACTGGGTATATGCCCAAAGGAATGTAAATCATTCTATTATACAGATACACACATGTATATCTTCATTGCAGCACTATTCACAATAGGAAAGACATGGGAATCAACCCAAATGCCCATCAATGATAAACTGGATAAAGAAAATGTGATACATGTACACCATGGAATACTATGCAGCCAGCCATAAAAAGCAACAGGATCATGTTCTTTGTAGGCACATAGATGGAGCTGGGAGCCATTATCCTCAGCAAACTAACACAGGAACAGAAAACCAAACACCACATGTTCTCATTTATAAGTAGGAGCTGAACGATGAGAACACATGGACATGGGGGATGACGGGGAGAGCATCAGGAAAAATAGCTAATTTTCCTGCTATTAGGAAATATTAGCAGGCGTAATATCTAGGTGATGGGTTAATCTGTGCAGCAAACCACTATGACGCATGTCTACCTATGTAACCAACCTGTACACCCTGCACATGTACCCTGGAAGTTGAAGGGGAAAAAAAGAGAGCAAAAGATTGAATAGGCATTTCATAAAAAATAGGCATTTCATAAAAAACTAAAGGCATAGGAAAAGGACCTCAAAATCATTAGTCATCAGGGAGAAAGGAATTAAAGCCACGATAAGATACTGCTAAAATTCTTACTAAAATGACAGATTAAAAACCCTGAAAATACCAAGTGTTTAGGAGATGTACAGAAACTGGAACTCTTATACATTGGTGGCGGAAATTTTAAATGGTCCATTTTGGAAAACAATTTGGCAGTTTCTTACAAAGACGTAAATGGGAGCTTTCTTTATAATAACACAAAACTGGAAAAAACACAAATGTCTGAAAAAACACAAATGTTTTTATCCCCCCCTTTCAGGGATAAAACCAAAAAGGAATGATCTAGAAATACACACAAAGACACAGATGACTTTTAAAAACATTCTGAGCAAAAGAAGGCAGACACACAAAAAAATACGTTCTATGATTCTATTTACATGGAATTTTAGAACTGGCAAAACTTATCTACAGAAGTAGTTCTCAACTGGGGAAATTATGCCCTCCCCTTCCCTGGGCAATGCTGGAGACATTTTTGGTTGTCATAACTGGGGTGGCATAGGTATGGGGGTGGTTGCTACAGGGATCTGGTGGGTAGAGGTCAGGGATGCTGTTAAACATTCTATAATACACAGGCCAGCAGCCACGGCAAAGCATTACCAGGCCCAAAATGTTGAGAGTGCCCAGGCCCAGGTTGAGAAATTCTGTTCTAAGTGATCAGTGGTGGTTTAGATGGAAGTAAGGATATTGAATGAAGGAATTCTGGGGATAATAAAAATGCTCTACATTTTATTTTATTTTTATTTATTTATTTATTTATTTTTGAGATGGAGTCTCGCTCTGTTGCCCAGGCTGGAGTGCAGTGGCACGATCTCGGCTTACTGCAACCTCCGCTGCCTGGGTTCAAGCAATTCTCCTGCCTCAGCCTCCCATGTAGCTGGGATTACAGGTGCCCACCACCACGCCTGGCTAATTTTAGTAATTTTAGTAGAGAAGGTATTTCACCATGTTGGCCAGACTGGCCTCGAACTTCTGACCTTGTGATCTGCCTGCCTAGGCCTCCCAAAGGGTTGGGATTACAGGCGTGAGCCACCACACCCTGCCGATGTTCTGTATTTTAATTGTGGTAGTGACTGACTTGTCAAAACTCACCAAATTGCATACACTTAAAAAGTGTAAATTTTACTGTATGCAAATTTTACATCCAAGTTGATGCTAAAAACTATAATGCCTGTATAAAACTATGTTAAACAGTTTAATCCATTTTTTGTTTTTTAAAATACATGCACAGAAAAGACTGGTAAGGCAACTACCATTAAAGACAGGAAAAACCAATACCATTTGTGGGATTATGGATAATTTTGAATTTTTTGCCCTGTTGTTCATTTGCTTAGTATTAACTAAAAATTTAATAACCTTTATGTGTACACACACACACAGAGACAGACACACACACATATATATCCAGTACCTAAAACAGGTACAGATAAATGAGGATCTTAGAAAAGCACAGGTGCACATGAATATTTAATTGTGATATTTGATCATAAGACTCTAGTTATTTCAAGAAACCATAAAAATGTGTAATGCAAAGGTACTTAGAAGTAAAGTTTTACTCTAAAACACTGCTGAACTATTTACTGAGCTCAATTATAATTCTTTCAATACAAAAGTCTGCAAGGATGAATTTTCACTAGAAACAATGCTATGATAACCCTACTAAGACAGGGTGAAAAGGTCAAGAAATTCTTTAAAATTAAATGAATAAAGTTATCAAGTAAGGAATAATCCATTTCACCGTATTAATACGGTTGAAAACATAGCAGATACAATTCAGTTATGTTCATCAACAGGCCAGGGACTGAGCAAAGCGTGAGGAATTTACTATAAAAATGTCCGTGAAGAACTGACCAATGGAGAAAAATGGCATTGCCAACAAATCACACACAAACGGGCTAAAGGCTATGACGGAGGTTTGAAGGGGGTACAATGAAAGAAGTCAAGCAACCACCTGGAGGAAGCATTTACAAAGGTGACATCTTAGCTAGACCTTGTCTGGTGAAAAATCATGAGATAATTTAGAAATCTTAGAAATAACACAAAAACCAATAAATAAATAAATAAAAATAAATAAAAACAAACACCACCACCACCACACATAACAATTTTGTTACACTGCTGTCTGATTTTTAGTCTTAAAGGTCAGCAATGAGAAAATCTTTTCCCGAAAAAGAAGATTATCCTACATATTGAGTAAGGAAATTATATCCCATATCCAAGGGGGAAATATATTTAAGATTCACCTTGATAGAAAATGCACTCCCTAAGCTTCCACCATGTCTACGTTTGACAATTTAAGTCTCTGGCACTATTCAAAAGCATAGTGATTTAAAAAAAAATCAATTAGGCTGCAGTTTAAAAATACTATATGAACACTTGTTAATATAGAATTAATATACGGCCTCATACTAAAACATCACCATACATTAGTAAGTGAATATTTTAAGATACCTCCCAAAAGGGAGACACTGGGAATCCTACATACAGTACAGTACATCTTTGACAATAAGTTTTCAAGCCATAAGAGATGCTTACAAATATGTGGGATTACTCTATGTTGCTAAAAATGATTCCAACCAGGTAAAAAGGTCAACTCCTATCTAATGCAGAGAGAAAAGCCTGCAAGGTGGTGGGATGGTGAGAAAGACTCCTGGTAGAACCTGTCTGCCTTGCTCCTTGGATTTCCTGTAATTTTGAACATTACTGAAATTAAAGCATTGAAACTGAATTACATCAACTTTATTTCAGCAGAACAAATTTTGTGCAGCAGAAAACCCAGTTTTGGCGGTGAAAAAGTCGTCCCAAAGACAAAGGGTCTTAAGTACATCTGACTTTTCAGAGACAGCAGCAATGTGTCCTATTCTTTCTCTCCTGGCTCAGACTCAAAGAACTACTGCAGGCAATTCAGGTAACACTATTTCCTGGTAGTGTGATTCAGGTAACTGGAAAAAGGAAAAAATGCTTAAAGCAATAAACTAGTATAAAAGGGAACCTTCTGGAGTCCCGTAATAGCCAGTGAACTAGAAACTCTTGATATTTTACAGATATTGACACCAATAGGGGAGCCAGGAGCCAAGTGCAACACCAGCCAAGGGTTGGAGGCAGGAAGAGAGAACAGTCACTGCCTGATCCTTTGGCTTCCACCGCAAAAGAGCGCCCCCACCCCAATACTCTCGTTCCTTAAAATGCCCCTATCCTCGGGACCCACGCAGAAATACCCCACTCCCCTACAGTAACTCCTTACAATCCCAACAACCCTGCCGGAGTGTGACAGGCTGCGTCCACTTACTGAGCTGTCCCCCGCCCGACGTTGTACTCGGTTCCCGACCTCCAGCGCCCCCAACGCCGGCTGCTCCTGGGACCCCTGGCGCCCCCATCCCCGGCGGGGTTCCACTTTGCCTCTCGAAGTTGCCTGGATTGGAGAAGTAGTCGCGCAGCCGAGGCAACTCCCGGCCACTCTCTAACAGCTCGGTATGCAGCTCCAGGGCGGTCAGCAAGTATTGATCGCGCAACAGCTGAGCAGCGATCGCATCAATTGACAATCGGGCCGGGGTCTCCCCGGTGCCCCCCAGGGCCACTGCAGCCGCCGATGCCTCCCCAGGGAGCCCTGGCCGCGCACTGCTTCCTAAGGCCACGGGATCCTGTGGCGACAGCGAGCCCGCAGAGCCAGGATCTAGGCCACTTCCGGCACCCAGCCGAAGTACTGCCCGCCGTTCCTCTGTTGCCGCTACCTCGTCATCGTCCTCATCCGAATCGCTGAGAAATGGATTCACGCCGCCACCACTGCCACTACCTCCAGGCGCCATCGCCGCCATCTTATCCTGTCAGGAGTGTGGGCGCCTCCCTGACTGGCTCCGACAGGCCGCAGCCCGAATCTTCTAGGCCTCAGGGGACACAGCGCACCTCCACAGCCCTGGCCTGACCACCTCCTTCCTCCCGACTTGAAGACAAGGAGTAGGTTCCAAGGCAGGAGATCTGGATGCAGCTGCACCTGATGCCTCAGCCTCTGCTGCACCAGCAGCCCGGCTCTGCAGGCGTCTTCCTGGTCTCCAGTATCGCGAGAACTGGAGCGTGCCCTGCCCCTCTCCCCAATCTAGCCCCGCCCCAGCCCCGCCCCAGCCCACTTCAGCTCCGCCCATCCCAGGCGCCAAATAGCCAAGATTGAAGGCCCCGCTCTCCGCTCAAAAGCAAAACTCCACCCACCATTCCTCCATGATTGGTCAGAGAAGGAAGGCGTGGATAGGACTGACGGGTGACTGGCCCGAGAATTATCGTGAGAGCAGCAGCGGCCGGGCAGGTGTTGGGGGCGTTCCGGGATTGAGGGGTGGTTGTGGTGGTGGTTTAGGGATACCCTACTGGCTATCGCTTCAGTGGGTAGAGGGGACCCCTGCCCGAGAGCTTTAATGGAGCTGGGTCCTGCCTTCGCGCTGAGGAGCCCTCGTTTTCGAGATCGGGCCTGACCGGGATAAGCTCCAGGTAAAGTTCAGGGACCAGGGCGCGGAGGGTGTCGGCGCCCAAACTGCGGTGTCGCGCCGGCGGACGCGCTGTTTCCCTAGTGCGCTGCACTTTTTCTCGCTATTTGCTGCCACTGGTGACATTTTGTCCCCACGGATAGCAAGTGCCCAGGCCTGTAGTCAGAATGTGACTTCCCTTCTTTTCCCTTCTCTGCCACATGCTTACACACTTGGGAGGCCTAGCGACAGCACGACTTCTCCGCCCCGGAATTGGTCCTGCCTGTGGGTGGGGACGGGGGCTGGAGAGACTAAACGGAAAAGGGGACGCTGAGATTGGCCTTTGCCTCGATCTGGGAACGTCCTCGAGTTGGAAAACAAATTGTTAGGTGCTCAATAAACCCTTAGGATTTAATACACGATTTACACGACAGGGACCCTTCAGAATATCAGATGCTTTCTCACCAGTAGACAGATAAGTAAACTTAAGCCAAGAGTAGTGGATATAAAATCAACTCCACGCCGGGCGCGGTGGCTCACGCCTGTAATCCCAGCACTTTGGGAGGCTCGAGCCGGGCGGATCACGAGCTCAGGAGTTCGAGACCAGCCTGACCAACATGGTGAAACCCCCGTCTCTACTAATAATACAAAAATTAGCTGGGCGTGGTGCGCACGCCTGTAATCCCAGCTACTCAGGAGGCTGAGGCAGGAGAATCGCTTGAACCCGGGAGGCGGAGATTGCGGTGAGCCGATGTCGCGCCACTGCACTCCAGCCTGGGCGACAGAGCGAGACTCCGTCTCAAAAAAAAAAAAAAAAAAAAAATCAATTCCACTAATAAGGAGTCAAAGGAATTAACATCATTTTTCTTATATCCCAAACGATTCGTTATCCACTGTCTCCTGCAACGTTTGTGACTTGTTCATTCAGCTGGAATCAAGGTTTTGGAACTTAGAACTATTTTAAAAGTTGAATGCTTCAGAGAGTTTTAATTTTTTTAATGAAACGTTAGCATATAAAGTACATATCTTAAGTTGAGAAGATCAACTTTTATCTTTTATGTTATTCCTTGATTATGATCTGAAAAGGTAAAGGATTTTCCAGTCAATACAATTAGACTGCTATTTCTTATGGCTCCTATTTTTTTCGCACACAAACGACCACTTTCGCAGGTTTTAGATTTCCTTTCTTAGTGTACAGCTTCCAGTAAATGCCGAAATGCATAGGCAGTAGTAATTAGTGCTATCAGGTAAGTGACATACTACATTCAGTGTGCAGTAGACATTCCACAGTAAAGTATCTCCCGTTACCTCCATGGAAAAATTAAAATAGAGGATTCTTACATAACCAACCTTAGGTCAGGTTATTGGTTTACATGTAAAAGTGTGCCAACAGTTAAGAGTAGGCTTTAATTTCAATTTACCCAGTCTCAGTAAACTGAAATTTTCATTTGAATGGGAATTTGCGTTTTTTAAGTTTTATTTTTGCTAGAAGTTTTTTAAAAAATAGTACCAAGAATTTAAAGTGTTTTTATAGGACATTAGTTCCCAATGTTTTAATGATAAGTAGTTTTTTGTGCCATGTATTAAAAGTAAAACATGGGGAAAAAAATCCCCCCAAATGGAATCGAAATGGCAAATACTGTATCCTGTTAGAGATTTCTTAGCAAAAGGGATTGCTGATCCGTATTTTAGTTGGGTTTTCCAGAGAGATTAAAATGGAACCAATTTCTGGAATGCAGGAATGGAGGATTAGTGAATGGCATGCGAAGGGCATAATTAGAAATGGATTGTTTATGTACAATATTTCCATCTCCCTGATTGGGAAATTGAGACATCTCCTGCATTTAAGATTCCTGAAGAGGATTATGCTTGTAAGATAGAAAAGCTTAAGTTCAGATCCCAATTCTACTCATTATTTATTGTGAGACCTTGAAAAAGTTACCTAACTTCTCAGCCTCACTTGCATTCATCTATCAAAGGGGATAAGGAAAGTACACAGAATTGAGAATGTTCTTGTCCCAGTGCCTGGTACGTGCTACACAATAACTGTTACTGTGGTCACTCATTAATTAATGAAATATTAGTATATGTTGAGAACATTTGACAAGTTTTTAAAAATAAAACTAATACCAATTGTTTTGGCAGTGCATTGAAAAAGCAATTAAGTCAGTAGGGCTGAAGGGAGTATCTTTAATTTGGAGTCTAAGTTCTAAAACACAAGTTGAAAATAGATTTAAAATGTTTCCTTAGAGACTTGTAAGAACTTGCATGTACAGAAGTTCTTCCTATACAAATCTGTAGTTTTCTGCTTTTGTTTCTGCTTCCTGTCCTATAACCTTGAACTTGATCTTGTAAGCCCATAACAAATCAACTGCCCAGTCTTCCCAGTAGCTACTTTTCTTTTCCACAATACACAGAGGTTTGGTTATTCATGAATAATGTATAAGTAACACACACTGGAATATTAATAATTACTGATTACTACTTATAATAATTTATTATTAATAGTGTTGGGAAATTTCCTTTCTACTTAGTAAGATTTTCATTAATATAGGCCCTTACAACTAATGTTTCATCTGACTAAAGCTTGTGCCTTAGCAATGAAGATGTAAAAGATGGCTGTTTTCAAAGCACGTCAATCATTTTAGTATTTAAAAAATATTTTAGGCTTTAATAGTCTTAAAAGAACCACAAGTAATGTTCTGAATAGAAGTTTTGGTTGACTTGAGGTTTTAGTAATAACTCATGTTTTATTGTTTCTCAGAGTGTGGTAAACATCCACAGATATAAACCAGATAACTTGTATTGGTACATGAATATATCTTTTTAAAATTTTAATAGTTATGTGTTTGTTTTGGAGGTATTTCTTTTTCAATAAATCTGAATAAATTGTGATTTTCTTTAAAGAGAACTATTAAGTAATATTGTTTAGTATTAAGCAATTAAACTAATTAAGATAAGTAGTTTGTGAATGCTGATGTTTTGCAATCACTGCAATTTTATTTACATTAATAGTAAATAATTTATCATAAAAGGTTTAGTTTTTTTTTTTTTTTAAGTATTGTCAATCTTCACATCTTGTTCTAGAGGAACAAAAACAGAAGCAGGGCATCCTCTAGTGGCTACAGTGCATATTGCATTTACCCTTGAAATGGTCATTCTAAGTAATTAATTCAGCAAACATTTGAGTCCTTACTAAGTGCATAGGACTCTGATGGGTGTTGGAGATGCCCCATCCTGCTGTTATGGAATTGTGGTGAAGTGACAGAGCAGACATTAATTCAAATAGTAATAGACAGAGCTATGTAATTACAAACTGAAGTAAAAGTTTTCGTTTCTGACTTAACCTGCGTAGTCCCTGAGGAAGTGATGCTTGAAATGGAATGTTAGGAGAGAGTGGAAGATAGGTTGCAAGTGCATTCTGCAGAGAGGAATTGAGCCTATGAAAGTCTTATAGCAGTGGGCTACTTGAATAAAAGAAGGGGCCAGGGACGTGAGATGTTACAAAGTAAAGGGGAGTGCTATGAGACAGGGTTAGGAAAGAAGGCAGAGGCTAGTCTATGAAAGACCTTATTAGTCACATTAAGGATTTTAGTCTTGATTAGTATGTGAAAAGGCACTGGAGAGTTTTATGCAAGGGGTAAGATGTTCAGATTTTCTTTTGAAAAAAGAAAAGCAAGTAATACTCTGGCTACATGGCAAGAAGCAGATCAGAGAAGGGTCAGAGTGTATAGGGGTGACCTATTCCTGCATTGCAGTAGTTCGCATAAGATATGGTGTACATCTTAAATTACAGAGGTGTCAGTGGCAATGAAGACAAATGAACAGATTCAAGAAACACAAAGTGGACAATTGTTGGATTAAATAAAGGGGAAGAATAGGGTGTAAAGAATGATGCCTATTTCTCAGACTTACATACTTGGTGGGAAGGTGGTGCCACCTCCTGAGATTGTGAACACTAAGGATTTAGTAGGTAGTAGACAAGGCTCATGGGAAATATTATGAATTTGGTTTTAAACCTACTCAGTTTGATTGTCTTTGAAATGTCCATGTAGATTTATAAAGGTTGGAGTTACATATGTGGATTTGGAGCTATAATTTGTTGAGACTTTTGCATAAGTGATAACTGAAGCCACGGATATGATGAAACATGCCAGGATAAAAAGTATAGAGTGAGAAGAAAAGATAGTTGAGGATGAAGTTTTGAGTAACTCCAAAATTCAATGACCAGATAGAGACTGTTCAACATTGGCCAGAGGTGTAGGTGAAAAATGAAAGCAGTAATGTTCTCAGAAGCCAAGTGATAAGAGCCTATTAAAAAGGAGAAGGCAGCCAGGCATGGTGGCTCACGCCTGTCATCCCACCACTTTGGGAGGATGAGGCAGGTGGATCACCTGAGGTCAGGAGTTTGAGACCAGCCTGGCCAACATGGTGAAACCCCATCTCTACTAAAAATACAAAATTAACTGGGCATGGTGGTACGTGCCTGTAATCCCAGCTACTTGGGAGGCTGAGGCAGGAGAATTGCTTGAACCCGGGAGGTGGAGGTTGTAGTGAGCTGAGATCGTGCCACTGCACTCCAGCTTGGGCGATAGATAGGGCGAGACTCCATCTAAAAAGA